GACCTGAGCTCTTCCTCGATGGCCACGGGCTGTAGGGACGGCCCAGGGCAGGAAAAGTACTGGCTGCTGGTGGTGGGACGGGGGAGTGGGCAAGTCTGTGCTCACCATCCAGTTCTGAAGTCTGGAATGGGGCATTGGCATCAGTTTCCTCGTCCCTCTCGGCACTCTGCTCTGCTGCCCTCCCATGGCCCCAGGGGAAAGCACAGGAAAAAGCAAGCAGAAACATAGCTCTTGCTGGGCGAAAGATCAAGGAAGGTATAGGAAACTGCTGCCTTTGAAAAGCGCCGCTTTCTGTTGCCTGTGCCTTCTGGTCTCTGCTCTTTCGCCCCAGCAAGAGCTGTTTCTACTTGCTTTCTTTTCCTGGGGGGCAGGGGGAAGCAGAGAGGTCAGGGCTGCTCTTCCCCCTCAGCAAACCAGGCCTGGAGGAACATGAAGAATTGCGAGAGAGCACCAGAGAAAGACGTGTTGGAAAAGCCAACACATGTTTCCAGTGCACTCTCCTCTGTCCCGAAGTAAGATTGACTGGGGAGAAGGGTAGGAGGGAAGGAGAAGCCCGGCTGGCTTTCCTTTGGCGTGGGGGGGGGGGGGGAGAGACCAAATGCCCAGACCAAAAGAGCGCTGAGGAAGACGGCTCCTAATAACCAGCCTGTTTGTGCAGGTGAGAGCTCCAGCTTTTCTGGACTCGACACCCCCCCTTCAGCCTCTACACAGGGAAGGATCCTTCTCTGCTTGGAAGCAACAGGAGAAACCTGGAGCTTAGCCTCGGGGAGTCCTCTTCTTATGTGAAGGCTGAAGGGGGGAGTGTTGCCTGGTTATTAGGAGCCCGTAGGCGCTCCTTCCCTCCCCCAACTCCAGGCAGTCACACCTGGCAAAGGAGGGAGAGGCTTCCTCTGACTTGGGAAATATATGAGATGGCTCTGCTTTTCTTCCGTTTGAGGGGGAGCCGGTTCCTTCCCGTCCAGATCTTCCCAGCTTCCAGGCACCATATGGCTTCTTAAATCCTCCCTCTTTCCAACCCCACCAAAGGATGAGGCCCCTCCTTTCCCTTCACTCTGTCCCACAATTATGATTAAACATTTACGATTTTATTATAATTAAATAAGCACTTATGTGTGTGTGTATATATATATATATATATATATACATATAATAAAAAAAATAATATTAAATTTATATTTAATATAAAAATAATTTTTTTGTATTAAATATATTATCTTTTTTTAAAAAAATTAGTGGTCCTCGGGATTTATGAGTTTGGTGGTCCCCAAGGTCAAAAAGGTTGGGGACCCCTGGTCTACTGCATTATTTAACATAATAACAATCCTCAAAATTTATGATTTTTGGAATCTGTTTTGATAAAAACATAATTTGGTTTTCAAGTTACGTGTTAATCTGTGTTAAGAATTATGACCTCTACTTACTTTCAAGAGAAACCCACCTTTCTTTAAATATTATTTTCATTACTAAAACTGAAAATGTAGATTTATTTTTCTTGGTTACAACAACATCACATGGGTTGTGCAGCTGAATATTCCAAAATAGACGTTTTAATTAGTTATATTTATTTTATTATTTCCAACTTCAAGTTTATGTTTTGTTTAAAACTAATTTGGGCCTGCTTTTCCTTCCTCCCCCCAAAAAAGAAACTTTTCACCAAAAAAGTCTTGTTTTGACCACAAGAGAGCACTCCAACACAAGAAATGGTAGGACAGAATGTTGCCATTTCCCAGTTTTCTTTTCCTTAACCAAAGGAGGGCATTCCATCATAATTTTTTTTTAACCATAGAGTCTAACAGGATTTTGTTTTCATTTTAACCATGTGAACAACATGAATTTCTTGTAAAAAAGGGACTTTTTTCTTTTTAATCCTTAATTAACATATATTCATTCAATTTAGTATTAAAACTTGCTTTGTGTATAGTGTTTTTGTGTAAGATATCAAACAATGGTTTTATTTTAATCTTTTACTCTTGTTTCATTTAATTTAATCAGTACAAACAAAAATATTAAACATAAGATTACATATTATTTTTCAAAAATGAGTAAAAATCAACAGAGCAAGGGCCTTTCTAAGATGGAAGAATGATACTTCTCCAGAATCTCAAAAGTCTTATTTATATCAGAGATCTATTTATTGGACGATAATCTCCCTATGATTTCATTATCTTGGCAATCACATCAGGATATGCAAGCAAATTTCAGTTCTCTTCAGGCAAACATTATCAACATTTACGGTAATTCAAGTAGAATCTCAGAATAACTGGATCAAAGAATAGAAGATTCAGAAATTTTAATAGAGATAACTAAAGAATTTGGAGGCAAAACTCAAATTGCTGGAAGCAGAGTTGTATTAAAGCAATAAAATACAAATATAATGCAAATGAACTATTCCATTATATATATACATCTGCTTAAATGAAGGCAACATTTTAGTATGCACCCAGGATGATGTAGAAAGTTGCCTTAATCTTTTTATGTAAAGGGGAGGGAAAGTAAGAGACCAGAACTTGAATAATTAACTGACCTTTCTGGGAATGAAGGGAGGAGAGAGGGAAGGAGGATGGAATAAGGTATGGAGGAAGGACAGATTAGGGAGGAAGGGAAGGAAGGAAGGAAAGATTGCTGATGCTTACTGCCAACTTCCCACAAAGAAGTTAAATAGGAAGCCGATAGGAAGTCAGAAGTTGCTCCCACTCTCACTGATTTTTTCCCCACCCGTTGTCATTATGTTTCTCTGTTTAGGTAAGGTAATATCTCTGAAACAATGACCCAGTGTTGGATTATTCAGTAATCTAGTATTTGTAATATTAAACAGTGGAAACCCAGTTTGAACAGGGGGAGATTTAATGAACTGTTACTATTACAAACTGAAAAGTCCCCAGGCATTAAATAGCTTCTTTCAGACAAATTTAACCTCTAAAACTTCCCTAACTACTGAATGTTCTCCCTCTCCCATTCATAGTTTGTGAAAGACCAAGTGGATCAGTCAGAAAGCTAATGGAAGAATGTAGCTGGGTGGGGTCAAAACAGAACTTTTTGGCTTGAATTAAAACGTTATGTATGTTAAACTGCTGCATTCCAATGTAAGAACCTTATTCCACTGTGAAACATGGTAAAGGCAGTATCATGTTGAGCCTACTTTGCTGTCTCTGGACCAGGACAGCTTGCCATCATTAATGGAATTTATTCTGAATTATGCCACTAAATTCTACAGGGTAATATCCGAGTATTTGTCCGTGAACTAAAACTCAAAAGCAAGTGGATCATCAGCAAGACAATGACCCAAAACATACAACATGCATAACCAAAAATGCTTAAAGTAGAAGAAAGTTAATGTTTTGGAATGGTCAAATCAATTAATATTCTCATCTTGTTTCTTTGGCAGCAATAAGAAAGCAGTTGCCATTTCATCTTCCATGACATATTATCAGTTCTGCTTAATATTTGCATGGTTTTAAGGTCAACTACGTGCTACCATCGCTTGTAGACATAGCCTACTTATTTTCTCACACTAGCCTTCTCTTTCTCACACTAGCCTTACTTCCCTCAAGTCTAATATCCATGATGTCAGCCCTGGATCCATCTTGATTCAGATTCCGGGCTGCCACAGTGGGGGATGGGCAGGCTGTGGGAACAGGAGATTAGTGAAGTGAATATAGCTACAACAACATTCTTTTTCGCCAGAGATCAAGGACAAGTTGCTGGCATCTGGAGGGGAATGACTGGAATTTGCGGCAGCTGAAACAGGAGGTTGTTTGGCTAATGTGACCTGGGAGTCATTAAGTGGGGCAGGGTGTGAATTTTAGTATTGGGAGGGGGGAGAAATGCAGGAATTCAGATTTGGGTTTCCCCCAGATATGCCAACATGACTTCTCTAACAAATTCTTACTTCGATGGACCGGAGTTTTGAATTGTCTAGAGGGTTTACTTGGAATGTGGACACATGAACTTTGTGATACTATATGAATCACAAAGGGGGAAAAGTCTCACTAAGCTCAATAGAGTTTAAAGTATGGACAGCATGCTTAAATATATTGGCATCAGAGAATTTGTCCCACATTATCTGTTCTCAATTGTACTCTGAAAACATAAAGCAACAATTTCAGGATTTAAGGAAAATAATAGATTTTCATTTCACTTTCTTAGGGGTTTTTTCCTACTAGTCCCTATAAACATGCACTGACAAACATATTTTTTCCCCTATTGGATCCAAAATATTGCCTGCATCTTATTTCATTGCAACAAGTCAAGGCTCAATTGCTTTAAATTGTACTACTAGGTTGAAGTAGCATTTTATCACTTATTTTAAAACTGCTGAAGGAAAAATCTCATGGGTATTAAATATTTTAGCTTTGACGCCCACCCATTCCTATGGAGAGAAGTGAAGGCCCTGCAGTGCAGTGATATAAAACAGAGACAGGATCAGATAGGAAATTGCACACTGACACATTTTTAAGCCTCTCAAGGAAGGAAGAGGACACCAATTCGGCACAGGGGAAAAGTCTTAAACTGCAAATTTTAGGTGATCAAGTATATATTATATTAATTATATTATGTTAATATTATCAAGTTAGTAGCATTATAGTGAGTTAATATTATACTGATAGACTTAAATCACGAGTAAGCTTTCCCAAGGAGCTTTCAAAAAGCTTAAGACAAATAAACATGCCATACAGAAACCCCTACGAAGGCTTCCTTTGCAACCCGCTCGACATGTTTCACGGATTTTTGTAGAATTAATTCGGAATATAGACGTGCATGCAGCAGAACGGCCGAAGAGAAAACCCGCTTCGCCAGGAGGCTTCAGGAGACGGATGGAGAAAATCTCACAATAGTTACCAACCGAGCGACGCTGACTGCTCTCAGAAACACGGGATCATAAATAAGTACGCCCGAGAGCAAGCTCAGATTGCACACGCAAGTGAAAAGCTGGCCGCCGGCTCCCTCTCCTCTTCTTGCCACGGGACTTTCCTCCATTATCAGTCACCCCCACCGCTCACCTTTCAAGAAGAGAAGAGCCGGCATGAACAAAACACTTCACCGAAGGCAGCTGGGAGCTACGGCCGCCAGAACGCGGCTCCTCTTCCTCTCCAGCGCGCGCTTTCCTCCCGTTACTTGGCAACCGGCGAAGCGCGAACTCACCCGGAGTCCGTCGGAAAAAAAAAAAGGAGTCGGCATATGATTAGGCGCGCGTGCGCAGCAGTCACCAATCCCTCGGAAACCTCTGGTGGAGAGAAGAAAACGATAGAGTTATATACCGTGCCTAATGCGAGTACCAGTTTGTATCCCGGTCTGTGACAAGGCATAAATAATTGCGCCGTTTGTAAATGATGCATGTGCATCCCTGCTTTGTTTCCTGCAAATAAGCACGTATTCTGCGTGACAGATGTGTTTACACCGTGTGGTTTTATAGTGATAGAATAATGCATTATATTGTAGGAAGTTAGCACCCACCCTCTCCTAGAAAAATGCAATATCCTGGGAAATATTAAAAAGGCAGAATATTTCCCCTAAAAAGAGTAGAAACTCGAGCAGAAACACCTCAGAAGCAGAAGCTCACCCCCACCTTTCTTAATGGGTGGGTCATTAAGGCCTGGGCCAGAATATTTTACATAGCAAAGATCTCCAGGTAAAGGTATAGCAATTGCCCAAGAGCCCTTTTATTGCATCATCATCCAACAAGGCTCAAACAAGCCTGGAACTCAGGAAAGCCTACAAAGTTAGCTAAGACCCCTGCCCCTGGGAGTCTGACAGTCAATGGGATACATTTCTTGCACAGGAACAGGAAACATTAAGGTAGGGCCCAATAGAGGGTATATAAGGGTCTCCAAGCATTTTGGCCAGCCCGTTCTTGATCTCTTCCTTCACCTTGAAGCATCTGATCATCCTTCCTTTTCACTCTGAAGCTCCAGGCCATGTGGTCCTGTCCATCATTAAACCTTCCAAACAGCCTCCATGTTTCTAGTGTCTTTTTCCCCACTTGGAACTGAACCCAGAAGGATAATTCTTCCAATAATATTTTATCAGTGTTGCTCCCCATTTAACCTTGTAATAAGTAAAGCCTCAGAAGATGATTATCTCCTTTGTTTGCTGCTAAAGATTGTCTCACGATGAGCTTAATTCCTGATCAATATTTGGGCATGTCCTTAACATTTTCTTGGTAACAATATGAAAGCACTAACTTTAGTTTAAATATAGCAGATACCTCAATCTTTATGTATTTATCCTACTTCAGATACATTATATGAAGATCTAGCTCTTTGGAGGAAGCTCCAATGCTGGGGAAGGAGGAGAAGGAGAGCAGCAACAAGGCGGCCGGATTCAATTACAATGGTGATGAATATATCACAGAGAACTGAAAGATCAAGCTAGGGATAGATTGTCAGAGAAAATCTACATGATTGCTAAGATTTGACACCAACTTGATGGCACAATCAATGTATTTACATCCTTACACTCCTTTGTGTACTTTTTTCATAACGGACACATTCTGCATCTTAATTTTTGCACACACACAAAACTCAATCTACTTTTACTCACACGTTCCATGGGTTTGCTGGGTGAGAGACATTTGTCATCCTTCCTTATGCATAAGATAGCCTGGATGCAACTGGATTTGTTTGGCTGCTGATTTGTAATTGTCTGCCGCTTCAAATAATTCTTGATTCCTGGTAACCACCTGGTTTAGTCCCAGCTTTCTTGGCAATATTTCAGAATCAGTTCAGAACCTGTTTGCTCTTGCCGTCTTCTTGTGACTAACAGAAAGTGACTGGCCTAAGATTATACAAGCTGGCTTCATGCCTATTAAGCAGGATTAGATCTCATAGTATCCTGGTTTCTAGCTTGGTACCTTAACCACTACACTAAACTGGCTTTGTTAGACCAAAAAAAAGTGTCAGAGCCTATGAAGAGGACAACTTCTTGAATTTCTATCCCTCTTGTCATTAGTAATGTTTCATTACATTCTATAGTTTCCTTATCCTTTCATTTAAGATTAATGTTTTTCAGATCTTCCAAAAATGTTTGATACCAGGTTTTCTTTGGCCTTTCTCTTTTTCTCTGGCCGTCTGGTGGTATCCAATTGATTGCACTCTTTGCTGGACACTGCTTACTAATGCAGAGCACATATCCAACAAAGTGCATAATCTGATCTAGGTTGCTGTGTTTAAGGTGGACATGATCCATACTGAGTGCATTTGTTGGAACACAGCAGTTGCTTTGCCTATTCAGCATTTCACATCTTCTGTTTCCCAATCTATATCCACAATACTACCAGGATAGTTGAAATGTTCCACAAATGCTAAGGCCTATTGTCCTAATATCATCAGATTGCTGTCTTGAACATTGCCAACTTGCATTGGTCTTGTCTTCAGTATTTTAAGCCAACTTTACTTGTCCTGTTTAGTGTTTATTTATTTAAGAAAATTTATAAGGCCACCCAACTCACTCTCAGTGATTCCAGGAGGCTTACAAGGATAAAAACTTAATAAAAAGCAATAGAAAGAGCAATAACCTCCCACCCTCCTGGCAACAACAATCAAAGGAGCCACTTGATGGGCTTCATATCATTCTGGGGTCACTACACCCATTGGCAGACCCAGTCTTCAGGGCCTTGCAAGAGTGTCAAAAGCGTTGCCAGACTTATCTATGCAGGGACAAAGTTCCACATAGAGGGACCCATCACAGAGAAGGCCTTTCTTCTTGGTTCTCCAAATGGACCTCCTTAGAAGAAGGGATCCATAGCATTCCCTGCCTCGTAAGTCAAGTAGATCAGATTGGGAAAAGACAAACAACCATTGCTGAGTGGGAGCAGAAAGTTTACTTCCCGTCGCTTTCAAAATGGTGGGTACAGCTACTTAATTGCCAAGATTCCTTCTTTTAAGATCTGTTTTTTGCTCATCTGTGCCGAGATGAAAAATGATTTACTGTTCTCAGTTCTATAGTAGAGCCCTTCTAATTGATCATCCACACTCCATCCTTTCAGTTCTTAATTGTATGGTGAGAGAATCAATGCTGCAATTAGGAGCCAAGATAGCCAGTTTAGTGTAATGGTGCAGATGCTGGCGTAGGAACCAGGAGACTGTGAGTTCTAATCCCACTTTAGGCATGAAAGCTGACTGACTGACTGTGGATTAGTCATTCTCTTTTACCCCATCCTACCTCACAGGGCCGTTGTGGGGAAAATAGGAGGAAGGAGTTATGTATGCTCATGACCTTGAGTTATTTATAAAACAATAAAGATGGAATAAAAATAAAACAAATAAAATAAAAATATTCCTTGTTTCATTAGTTCATGCACAGGATCAAGATTAAAATATCAAACTTTCATTTACATAATTTTCTTCATTCATTTCAATGTTATTTTTCACTGATCCCGTTTTCTTTTAGAAACTCACTTAGCTTGAATATTCTCAAGAATTTCAACTATACGGTTAAGTAAATTTTACTAGTTAATGCTTAATATTGTCCTTTCTAAATTGGAATGTGTGGCCTCTGCCATTAAAACTTTTGTTAATTTTTTTTTATTGTTTTTAAGCCTTACATGCCACCCAGAATCAGTCAGGAAATGGCTATAAATTGTGTAAATAAATACCATATAATACTATAGTATTTTTATTACTTGTAGAAGAATTGGTCCAATAGCCTTTCCCCGTTTTCTAGTTTTTAAAGTGTCTTACATAAAATTACATTAATGTAATTATTTTAAACTATGACTTTTTTCTGCAAAATTCTAATAAAGTAATTAACATATATTCATAACTTCTGCGTATGCGACATAGTTTGACCCCTATTCCCTTATTGAAACGCGCGTGATTTCTACGTCGAACATTAGCTCAAACTTTATCCTTCTCTCGCTTTTATTACTGGATGTAAGGCTGAGGATGACGGATGGTCCTGTTGGCTTCTGGGAAATGTAGTTATTTTGAGCGGGTCAAGCGTCCCGTTATCTTTGCTTTAGAGTGTTGGAACTACAGCTCCCAGGTGACAACAGGAGGTTGGAAAATAGAGGGCGGTGGCCTCGCCTCCTTTCATTACCTTCCGAACAAGACGCACTGTCTCTTTGCTGGAGCTGAGACTGTGCTTAGAGGTGACCTCGAGGAAGGAGGCCTATCGCGTTTTCTGTTCTCATCATGGTTAGTGCTATTTCATTATCCCTTTCGCGGCTAGAGCACAGACTGTTTGGAGAGATCTCAAGCGTAGAATTATTATGATTTACAAATCGCAATAAAAGAGAAGAGCATGAAAATCACTGGCGTGCAATCACTGGCGTGCAACTCTTGTCACCGGAGGGAGTTGGGAATGCGGCGTCTTTCCCTAGGAAAAAGCAAGGAGGTGGCCAAAGGAATGCAGTGAGTTCCTTTTGCATCGGTAACTCAGTGGACGAACCCGTTTAAATGAGGGGAAGCTGGAACTGCTTCCATTTATATAGGACTCGGGTGAAAGTGAAATACCCGGATCGACGCTTGTATTACAAAATGGGCTGGAGGGGAAGGTTATTCCATTAATTAAACCTGCCTTTAGAAGAGAAGAACCTAGTACGTGATCAATTTTCGGAGACGCGGAGGTGGACTTGAAGTAGTGAAACATGGGAGTTAGGAAGCAGTGAAACAAGGGAGTAAGCTAAGTAAATGGCACCTGTGCGTTTTAGTTGCGGAACAGAGGGCACGATAACCGCTATTTTAACGCAAGGGAATCTGAATTAGCCAGGATCCATGATGCACTGTAACTATATCACACTGAACGTATTTTCTGGGTTGAGTTTTTCGAACGATTGCGGGGGTCTGCTCTTTTAAAGCTGGGCAGTAAGAAAGGATATGCTATTTATAACTCCTGCATTCTGGAGAAAAATCCTTTAAAAGAAACGTATCCTCTTGCTGGTACCAGTTTATTTAGAAATTTTGTACCATATGTTGCCTGATTTTTTAATGTTTCTGGACAATTCACAAGGTGTTAACATCTTTCTGAAACAGCAAAAGTAATAGATGCATAGAATACCAAATGGCTAACAAGTTAGAAGGAGGAGATACTTTAGTAATTTATCTATTAAGGGAGGCATTGTTTCCAGTTGGAAATCACTAACAGTATTCAGATGTGGTACTTCAGACAACAGCTGCGGAAGATGCTGCCAAGTTGCCCAATCACAAGACACCCCCCCCCTTTAGATGCTGTTCTGCTATGCAG